TTATCGATAGTTTTCTTTTGTAAGAATTAATGAAATTGTCGCCTTTGCTTCTTTTAGTGATAAGTATTGATGACAGGAATATATATCAATGGTGATGGTAGCTTACACATAAATCCATATAGTGATAATATTATTGTCATGAACGTGACATCTTATAACATTTATTTGGTCACAAATGAGTTCTTATTTTCAACGCATTACAACAATCATGTTACGAACAATACTAAGATAATACTCCAAATAAATCAATTAGATGCAAAATACAACTCACAATCCAGTCATGTTACTATCAATACTAGCACTTGAAACAAGAAAGTGAAAAAAATACCCAAATAATAAACCTAAGTATACAACTGTCAATAGAAAAAAATACAAACTCTCAGAGGTCTAGGAACCAGTTTTATTCTGTGTATTCTTGAGCGAATCAAAGTGACCACTTGATACTTGAAAGTCTGCAAACGAAAAACAAATAAACGGTATTTCCTGTATCAAGCGGAAAGACAGGCCGAGAAGGTTAAATAGTAAACACTGAATAAACGTAAAAAAACAATTGTAATTACCAATATATGTAATTGTGCTGGGTTGATCTAGATTGTGGAGACAACATATCTGATCTATCTCGTAGCGAGCCAGCCTTTTTGTGTAGCAATTGAAACCATTAGATGCTAGAGCCGCTGAGAGCCTGAGAAGTGAGACCGACTCCGGAAATTCCTAACGTAGCTTGTTCTTCCCTATCTCATACCTTGTTGCTGTTTCCATACTACTTATTCTTGCGGTTCGGATGGAGATGATAAGAAAAGAGTAGCTGGTCGTGGTGGATTTGTCATTCAGAGAGGGACGAGATTGCAAGGGATTTGGAGATGTGTTAAGTGACTGCTCTCATCTAGGAAGGTACTTTAGGGTTTAGTTTATGTTAATTATAAAGAGTGGAGGGAGGCTGAGAGGTAAGGTAATCGTCTGGGGAAACTCTCCGTTTAGCATAGGCTATTCTCAATTGGAATTAGTTTAGGTTTTGGGCTAGTTACAGTTAGATTACTTATAGCTAATTAAGTAGAGGATAATTATGGATTGCGCATATCCCTAGTTCCTAAGGATCGGGTGTAAAACCTTCTTTTTGGATTTTTTTATAAGGACGATATTTGCCTGCATACCAGGCTGTAGGGGGAGCCTGCAACCTCCCCACGTGTGTCCATCCCATTGGTTGAGTTTACCCTTCTTTTTCCTTTTAAATTCAACTATAAATAGCCTAACGGAGATACAATAAAACTAATAGAAGCCGTTATCATGGATTCCAATTATTATATATTTTTATTACCTTCCCTCCTTCTTTCTCTCTCGTGTAATTCAAGGAAGTAGAAATTATTTGTTTTTATTGCAACAAATAAATAGGTTGCACAATACTAGTCTAATGAACTTAATTGATTGCTACTCCTATGACTATAATTATGCGAATTTAAGAATCATTTTATCAAATGAAACATGTAATCAAACACAATCAACAACAAATGCAAACAATCTCCCAAAACATGTAATATCTCGAATTGTTCAAACAAATAAATCTCAAAGTATGTTAAGCCTAATCCATTCCAAAAAATTCCAAATTCCAAAACATATAAAATCAACCGAAATTGTTCAAAAATACGTGTTCCCTATTTTGGTGCATCAGAATGCGAATTTGCAATTGCCTCCTGCATTGGTAAAATTTAACAATAGCGTTAAATAAAGATATGAAGAACATCCAAAAAAACAATAATTTCAACGACATACCTGTAACAATTGGGTGTATGAAATGTTATTTGAAGGAACTGTGCAGTCAAAAATATCTTCATGATTATGTCTTGTTGTATCAACAGTTAAACTTTGAGAGTCAAATTGCCCAACTGTCCCCTAAAAACATACACATATATGTAGTTTATGATTAGATATGTACGCATATGAAACATTTTTTTTCTTCTTTCTATTAAAATATATTAAGGATAAATAAATACCTGATTACTTCGAACTTGAAACTCAACATCACTTTCATGTTGCGAAATATTTGTCGCCATCTTCTTAAGCTGCATATAATATTTAATTTTTTCATTCGTTCGTTACTATAATTGAACGACATAAGAAAGCTTATCTAAATAAATAAAAAGAAGAGGGAAAGGAGACCTGTGACTTTGATTGCACTTTTTTACTTTTGCGCCGCTCTAATGGACCTTTAAATCTCTTTTTCGGTCGTCCAACAGTTGCCTTTGTCTTAACTCCAGCTACAATTGGATAGTCTTGCTCATGATCCGAGCCAGACACATCATTGGTTGTTTCGTCATGTGAAGATCTTTTCATTAACTGCAAGTCCTTAAGCAATGTTGAAAAAACTCCGCATGCATGCTCATACATAGTGTTATCCTCAGTTGCTAATGTAGATATGTCACGGAAATTATAATTCAAATTGAAATACCGCTTCCCGATCTGTTCTTTTGCACTTCCACAAACTTGAATTGCACTTCTGATATCTCCATCTTTTGCATCCTTTGTCCATCTCTTTAATATATAGTCTTGAGGAATTTGCTTTATATTTTTCTTGTCAAGAACTTTTAAAGCATGAGCACACAAAATCCCAACAAAGTCAAACTTCCTGCAACTGCATTCAACTCTTTGACAAGAAGGCTCAAATCGAACATAGTGCTCTGTACCTCTACCATCATATTGCACTTTATATTCTGTATGACTTTCAGTTTTGCTGATCTTATCAATTGTGCAATCCCACGCTCTGAGATATTCTTCTTCAAACATTTTAAACACTGGAGGAGTATAAATATCAGATGCCTGTTTTAACATCACAACATCTGCTTTTAGGACTGGGCTAGTATTCCTCAGTTTGAACTCTCCCAAAAGCTCTTTGTACCTTCTATCTTCCACCAATCGGTTATAATGGTCGAAAAAGTATACCATATTATGTTTTGGCTTCAAGTACTTTTTCAACACATTATTTATTGATTCACTACGTTGTGTACTCTTCATATCAGCAGTAAACATATGACGCCCATACACCATAGCCCACTTCCTTCTTTCTAAGAATATTCCATGCAACCATTCATTATCTTCCAAAGAATATTTAGCAAGCATAGTATCCCAAGCTTGATGCCATTCATCCTCATCTTCGTAATCAAATACACAGGCACCAAAATCACTAGCAAATTGCTTGGATGAATGAAACACATGGCTTAAATGTGTAGCAGCATTTTGATAAATATGCCAAACACATAAACGATGATGAGTTTCAGTGAATACCTCTTCAATTGCTCTTGCCATAGCGGCTGATTGATCTATTAATATGGTCTTGGGTTGCATTCCTCCCATTGCACTCAAAAAAGCTTCAAATAACCAGTTGAACGATGTGATTGTTTCATCATAAAGCAATGCAGCCCCAAAAATTACCGTCTCTTTCAAGTGATTAACCCCAACAAATGGAGCAAAAGGCCGACCATACTTATTAGTTCTATAGGTTGTGTCAAAACACACCACATCTCCAAAGTGCTTATAATCGACTATTGACCTGCCATCTGCCCAAAAGATATTCATAAGAAGATCATCATCATCAAGTTGCACCGCATAAAAAAATGATGGATTCTCTGACTGTGTTTTTCGAAAGCAATCCATAATGGTCGGACCATCTCCTTTAATCATTGTCGATCGTCTTCGTGAAGCAATATGATTTCTGTAGTCTGTATCCAAGAACCCATTATGTTGACGACCTCCATTCTGGATTGCTAGTAGATCAATAGTCCCTTTGATTGGCAACCCAACTTTTGCAGCATCATCTGCAATAACTTTCTGAGCATAACTAAGCTTTCTGTTGGACCTCAACATATGTTTCATCGGAGTGGGGGTAAGCTCATGATTATGATTTGCTTCAAATTTAACAATCTCAAGCATTCCATCATTTTTCAGCTGACATGTCATCTCTGCTAAACAACCCACTCTTGTTATTGGCCTTTCATAGGCTACCTTCTCAGACCTTTTATCAATACCTTTTTTGCCTTGCTTAGAACAACTGAATGTTCTACGTTTCACCTGTCCAGACTTTGTACGCTTGATGAAGTTCTTTTTCACGCTGAAACCAATACCGTGTGCATATGCTTTATAAAATTCATAAGCACTATCATCACAATCAAACTTCATGCCTATGCATGGCACTTCATAATTTGCACTCATCTCTTGTAACCTAGAAAGATATATAATATATTTCAAGTCAAATATTGAAAAATCAAAGTAATAACCACGTATTATAGAGAAAAGTAGTTTTTAAAAAAAAGCTTAGAGCAAAACTTATACAAATCTGTAACAAAGTAAATAAGGTTGCTACGATTATTAATCAAGACAATTAAACTAAACGAAAGCAACTTGCACGTTCACTAAAAAAAGGAGAAACCATACCTGAATCGTTGAGCTAAGCGTCTGCAACTGCGAGTTACCAACAAAACTGCACTACCCTACAACCCTCGGTGCTTTTGAAAGAAACCTCACCATCAATATACAATTGAGACCTATATATAGCTTTCTCATTAAATAAAAATCCCTTGCTTTGTCCTTTTTAGTGTGGGACACGGTCTCTTTTCTGGGGATTTCAAAGAGGTGATAAAAATATATAATAATTGGAATCCATGATAACGGCTTCTGTTAGGTTTATTGTATCTCCGTTAGGCTATTTATTGTTGAATTTAAAAGGAAAAAGAAGGGTAAACTCAACCAATGGGATGGACACACGTGGGGAGGTTGCAGGCTCCCCCTACAGCCTGGTATGCAGGCAAATATCGTCCTTTTTATAATACGTCTATTTCGATTAAAAAATTAATATTTTTTTTGCAACCCAATCTTTTAAAATGTTGCAAATAAGCAATTATGCAACACATAATTTTGGATAAATAATTTGGGTTGCGTAAACTACATAATACGCAACTCTAAAAAAATGTGTTGTCTTTATATATTTAACGCAACACTTTCAAATAGTGTTGCGATCCGGATGTTGCAAGAAGTCATTTTTCCCGTAGTGATTGGATAAGTATGGAGCTAAGGGGGTACCAGGCGGGCAAGGCGACCTCGGTACCAAAACCCCTATAAGGTACCAAGCCGGCCGGCGAGACTGACTTGGTGGCCAGGCAACCGGGGGGGGGGGGGGGGGGGGGGGGGGGGAAGCCAGGTACCAACTAAGAGAGTCATAAAGAAACTAAGTCTGGGTATCAAGCCGACAAGACGGACTTGATAGCCAAACATCACGGTATCAAGCCAAACAGCTATGGATGGATCGGCCAGGATGCAGAGTTCAGCCCTTATGGGGCCATATGGAGACAAATTCCCAAGACGCCCTTGGTAGCACCTCAACGGGGTACCAAACCGGCAGGGTGCAGCTTACCAACCTGACGAAACTACAAAAAACTAAGTATGGATACCAAGCCACCAGGGTGGCAGGGTTGGCTTGGTAGCAAGGGGTGTCAAGTTGATTACATTGGCTTGGTGGCATGCCGGAAGGTATCAAGCCGATGAGACGGCTTGGTAACAACCAACAAGTTCATGAGGAGGGTATGGTGTCATTGAGGTGGTAGCGGTCTCAAGATGACAAGAGTGGGGAGTCATCAAGCAGTCAAGGTTGAGATCAAGACCTCGTCATGGTTCATGGAGGCTAAGGTAAGAGCCTCAACCCCATCCAGTTATGACAGGGCGACAAGGCTCAACACCAACCCGACCCGGCATCGAGGCCATCAAGTACCCACCAACCCCAAGACGGGACAAGGGCCTCCAAGGCGATGGATAACAACCAGTCAACAAGACGGGTCTAGGAGCTCTAAGGCAATGGAGGTGAAGACCAAGACAACGGTTACCAATTGGCGATCAAGGCAACGAAAAGGGGTCCCTAAGGCGGTTGGAGCAACAAGCCTGCTAGCAGTTACCAAGGCAGTTACTCCTAGTGGCTATAAATAGGAGAAACGAAGACAGGAAAAGGGTTCCACAACCAACCATTTGACACACTATTTCAAACTTTTATCTTTTCTCTGCAAATTAGCCCTAGCCTTAGTTTTCGGAGCTCTCACTGAATCTCCATAGGAGTAGGTGTAATTAACTTAGCTTGTTTCCAAAAAACCATCAAAAACATCAAACACCCTCGTTCGAATATTGTTCGGAGAGGAGTGAACCGTGTTTAGAATCGTTGTTCAAGAAGTCAAAGGTGCATTTATTGAGTTCAAACACCAGATTTTCCTCGCCAGAAAACTCCAACACAAAATTCATAAACGAAGAAAATGATTAGTGGACTCAACCGACACATTTTTTATCGAATGATTATAACCTCAGAATTTAATCAAAGAGTTCATATATAATGTGCAACTTTCCTCCCATGTGTACTCTCCTCCCTTTGCAAATTATTGCTCCTTTTTTCCCCTGTTAATGATATAATAATATCATTTTCACACATTATTAATTGTCAGATGAAGTTGCAATATATAAACGAAAAGGTAGCGTTGTTATGATAGACACATATGCATGTTGGAAGAATTGGAGGCAAACCATTATTATTACATTACATTCCGAACATACGTAGCATGGGCATTTTTCACACAAACGTCTTATATAGCTTATCTTACTAATATCTATACGCATGAATAATGACGGCAAGTGTCCAAATACAAATGGAAATAGAAAAAATTTATATATAATTCATTCACAACAACACACTTATATATAATTGTACGCATAATCGCAATTCATCAGAGCTTGGAGGAGGGGGCGTTGCGGGTGTCGGTTGAGAGCTTGATGAGATTCCTCCTGAGGATTTTGCCAGAGGGATTTTTGGGTATTGCTGATATGAACTCCACTTCTCTTACCTTCTTGTAAGGAGCAACCTGTAGCACCATCATTGTTATTGCATACACACGTTTTTCATTCTCCAAGTTAGTATCCAGAATGGCTCAATTATACATGGTGGAGGGGTCAACTAATTACGTAGGGCTTGAAAACGAGTTGCCAGTGCAAAATAATGCATGCATGGGTCAGGATAGTTATTGTGTTTGTGTTTCCCGTGTATATATATATATAGAGACGTATGGGAAAAAGAAAGTGATCAAGCAAACAAAGAAAGAAAAATCTGTTGTCATTGGTGTTAAAACAATAAGTCAAATTATAAGGTTTTATTGGATTCCAAAAATGAGTAAAAATACCAATAATTTCATTTGTCGGTTTAATAAATTTCCGCTAATGCACAATGGATTTGAAAGTGTATTGTTTGCTTATTGAATTTTGATAAGAATTTCCACTTGATTAGATACACCATTTTTAACATGAGATTAGCAAGTTAACCAATATTTTAGATACTTTATTGTACCATTCGGTCCGATCGAAAATACTAAACCGAACCCAAATGGTAGGTGATTTGGTACGACACGACTGAAACACGGTTCAACCACAATTTTGGTACATAATACCATGTCATTAATTTTTCTGGTATAACTTCCCATATTGTTTCAGAAGCATTGAAATTAACAGGCTCACGAATTTAAACTCTTAAAATTTCACGAACTCCAATAAATTCGATTCCAACAACTTCAGGCAAACAATGTCTTTATGCAAATTCCGTGAATTGAAATTGAGACTTAACCAATTTCATCGTCTAAGATTATGGAAGAGACACTCGTAACTTTTTTTTTTTTTTTGTCAAATTATTGAGAAAGAATTGATGTTCATAACATTTGATTCTTACCTCTTTTGCGACAAAGGCCATTATGTCAGTCCTTGATAAGTTACTGTCGGCTTTTCTGACCACATATGCCATTGGGTACTGCCCTACTTCCTTGTGCGGAACTCTGGAGAGCCAAAATGGAAAGGGGAAAATACCCATTAAAAACTTATAAGTTGCAAGCTAAACTGGAGAAGAAAGAAAAAAACTTACGGAATTACAGCAGCGTCATCTATTTGTGGATGCGTAAGTAGCACTGCCTCTAATTCTGCCGGCGCGACCTACACACGATCATCGTACAGAACATAAAAAACATAATGTAATTTTGGTAATTTGTTTGTACATTAAAGAATACAAGCATTAATTGTTTGCACAACTATCTACCGACCTGATATCCTTTATATTTGATGAGTTCTTTCAACCGGTCAACCACGAAAAGGAAACCTTGGTCATCGATGTAGCAAATATCTCCCGTCTTCAACCATCCATTTGCATCAAGAGTTGATACAGTTGCTTCTCGATTGTTAAGGTAACCTGCAGTGTCAGTAAAACCGATCATGTTTATGTACTTTAAATATTTGTTATCCATCGACATACTTGCTTTAGCTTATCATCCGATCCCATAGCTAATTATTGTTGCCATGCAAAGAACAGTTTTATATTAAAGTGGAATATCACATATCCATACTATCTATAACTCGTCCTTCAAATGCATCCAATAAAATTGGAACCATAATAATATAATGTCTATGGCTCGCTCACCTTTTACGTTTCCCCATGGTGGTTAGAGCTCAACAACGCATGAAAGATACACATCGTGAATAAAGAGAAAGCCTTCACCCATAAACCATTAAAATTTAAAACAAAGCTGAAGCTAAAAGCTTCAATAATTGTTACCTATCACCCTCATCAAACAGTATTAAAAAAGGAATACGTCAGAAATAATAATTGTTGCATATAATTTATGTGGAAAGCTGCTGCCACCACGCGATTTTGCAACTTTAAACAGGAAACCCCGGCCCCAAATTGTTCGTATGGTCGATGCCATAAAAAGGAAAAAGATAGTTTCTACCAAAAAAAAATATAAAGGAAAAAAGAAAATGTTATGTATGTATATGGTGGATCTCAGGGGTAAGTTACTAAAGATAAAATAAATAGCAAATTTGGTGTAAAATAATGATTTGCATAGACCTGTAAAAATACAGCGACTTTCTGGCATCATATCACTATCACATCATACAATATTGTATTATCATTATAATACGTTTGTATAATACCGTACCACATTCATAAACATCGTATCACCACAATAAAAGGGATTGTGTACTGCTACACATAACCAGAGGTCATACACCTACACAATCTTTTGTCGCATAATACAGTAAGAAGTTATCTTATTCAAGTTTGACGTAAGATTTCATTTCTTTCTTTTTTTTTTTTGTAAGATAAGATTTCTAAAAATTCGTTTCAATGGTTTTTTCTTTTTAGAATGATATTTTATGAAATGTAATTTTAGTTGACTGCCTAAATTTACTTTGTTTGACCGCGCTCTTTTTTCTACTTCGTGAAATACAAGTCACAAACATGCGCCTCTCAAGTGTTCAAAAAAATTCAAATAATGTAAGACAAGTAGACAACCCCTTTGAGTATAAGATGTTGACTAATAATATGACTAATTAATAGGAATGTACGATGACATAAAGAACACTTCAATAAGACCTTGATTAGTCCCTTCGGGAAATCCGATAAAACAAGACTTTTGATTAGAGGGAAGTGATGTGTGATGTGATGAAATTACTTCCATTAATTGGTTTGCATGATTCTTGTTGCTTGTTAGGCTTCTCATAATTAACTAGTGTCAACCATTCAGTTTTGATTTAAACGGAAATCTAACCGCTAAGAAGGTCAATGATTTTAGCTTTTTGTTACTACATCATTTTGCAACTTGAAGATTTCGGTTGGATTAACCTAAAAGAACTAACAAGAAAAAATAAATCCCAAAAATTCTTGTTTATTTGTTCAGACCGAAATGATAAAAAATTTTATTGATTTCACTTTCAATTTTCGAGTACTTAATTTTGTTGTGTTTCGGAGTTTTCTACTTAATTGATCGATTAACCAAATCAAACCAACGACCTTAGCTATAACAGCATATTCACTCGGAAACTTTATAATTCCCCTATTTTGTCAACTAATCAAGAATCTAACTCAACCAAACCATAAAGACTCACGTCCATTATTAAAATACAGTTTAATGCTACAACCAAGGTTGTCAACCCGCGGGTTGACCCGAACCCGGTTGAGCTAGTTGGTCAAGGGTTAATGGGTCACCCGTTTTAGCCCGAAAATATGGAAAGCGTCATTATATTGTACTGATCCTGATAAATTATATCAAATCTCAACTAACATATGAGTTATAACATATAATATTACACCAAAATAACATTTCGTACTTAGATTCAACATATAGTAAAAATTCACACACACTTATATAACATTAGTATTCAAATGTTCAATTTAGGATTCCAAAGATTGAGTTAGGCGAAAAGAAAAATCGGAAAATAGGCGCATTTCGCAAAAAAAGAAAAAAATGACACAATTTGACCTCCAACCCGGTACCTTGTGACGGTCGATCCGACGGGTGCGTGCGACCCGTTTTTCTCACCGAGTCAGGATCAAAGTGGGTCAACCAGCGGGTCGACCCGCTGGTTGACAACCTTGGCTACAACTCACAATTTATTAGAATCTCAGCCAGCCATTTGCCAAAAATTCCAACACTACTTGACATTTTGTTAACAAACTTATATACCTCACCGGCCGCTCACCCATCAACTTGTTGAGTGCAAAGAAACAATTATTCATTCATCAGCTTGTTGTTGAACGAAAATATATTAATGCCATACAAAATAAGACTAGAAGAGGTCAAGTGTTAAGGAATTAATCAGCATTCAATTAATTACCTTTCATGACATATGGCCCCTTAAGCCAAAGCTCCCCGGTCCTTCTGACTCCCAATCCCTCCCCGCTCTCCGGCGCCACAATCCTCGCCTCCATGTTCGGCAGCAACTTCCCCACCGCCCCTGGCTGCCGCCGCACCTCCTCCGCCGTGTCCATCGACGCCACCCACGGCGACTCCGTCAGCCCATACGCCTGGCTCACCGTCACCCCAGGGTACGTCGCCGCAAACCCCGCCGCCACCTCCTTGCTCAAAGGCGACGCGCCGCACAGCACGCGCTCCAACGTCCCCAATTCGTACTTCATATTGATTCGATCCGCGTCCTGACAAAATGTTTAGCAAATAGACTGAGTTTACATATTATAGTTAAAAAGTAAAAAAAAAAAGTTAAGCACCAATATCGAATTAAATAACGTGGAAATGACAACATTCACGACATTGCGTTGAGATAAACAACCAACGAAAAATTCTAATTAATATATGAATACCTTAACCATAGACACGAGGATAGGCGGGACCAAGGGCAAATCGGTCACGCCGAACCTCTCGATGGACGATAGCATATCGTCCATCGAGAAGCTCGACACCACCACGACGGTGGCCCCGGCCGCGAGCAGGCCCATGGAGAACATCGTGAGGCCGTAGATGTGGAACATCGGGATCGTGCACAGGAATTTGGCGGGAGAAACCTTCCCTCCATCCGCCACGCCGCGCTCCGCGACGGCAATACGGTGCCGTCTCACCACGTTCTGCACAACGGCGATGAGGCTTCGGTGAGACGACAAAACGCCCTTGCTCGCGCCCGTGGTTCCCGAGGAGTACAGCACCGTCGCGACGTCGTTTTGGCTGACCCGATCCCTACTGCAGCTGCTGCCAGCCGGGCACGTGATCATTTTGGTCAACGTGGACACTATTTTCGTGTTGGACGGGTAACGGTAACGGTGGCTGCAGTCGTCCATGAGGACGACGTCGACGGGGGAGCTGACGGATCCGTTTTTGAAAGCGTCGGCGAGTTTCCCGAGGAGGTGGTGGGTGGTGAAGGCGAGGGAGGGCTTGGAATCGGCGATCTGCTTGGCGATTTCGCCCGGGGTGTTGACGGGGTTGACGGTCGTTATGACGGCGCCGACAGAGATGACGGAGAGTGCGACGACGGGGAAGAAGATGGAGTTCGGGGAGAGGAGGAGGACTACGTGTCCCTTCCGGAGTCCCAGCTCGGAGAGCCGAGCGGAGACGGAGCCGACGGCGCGCCAGAGCTGGTTGTAAGTGAGGTGGGTCCCCGTGGCGGCGTCGATGAGGGCTGTTCTTCCGCCGTCGTGGGCGTGTGCGGCGATGAAAGTGGCGACATCGAGGAAGTCCGCCGGAGGGAGCGGGGAGGGGCCGCGCCGGCTGTAGAAGACGGCGTTGGATTGGCAGAAGCCGCTGTTTGGGTCGACGGCGGCGGTGGGGACCGCCGTCTCGGCACCGCCGATGAGATTGTCACTTGGCATGTTGTTGTAATTTTGGGTTAAGGTTGTTTGTTTGCGAATGTGGTGTGCGGCTTGGTTTCTTTATATAGCTCAATTTTTTGGTAGCACTTTTACCATGTCATATAGTATTGGTTTTTTAATGTACAACTTGATGTTGTACCATAACATTAAATGTATAAATTTAGGTTGTACCATAAAGAAATTTATACCATTATGTTATGGTACAACTTTACAACTTGAAGTTGTACCATCATATAAAGGTACAAGTTCAAGTTGTACCATAAAATAATTTGTCCAAAAAGTATAGGTACAATATGAAGTTGTACCATAACGTTAAAGGTACAATTTCAAGTTGTACCATAAAGACAAAAATCTATAGCACCAATACTATATAGCATTGTAAAATTCCTCCTTTTTGGGATGATTCGCGAATCCAGAAATTTTGAACTCTTTCAAAAAATAAAAATAATAATAATTAATAACAATTAAATAATTCTTAAATAAGAAAATAAGTCCATGATGTATTTTCATATTCTGAAAATTTGTAAAATAAACTTGGTGTTTGTTAGGGGCATGGCTCGGGTCAGGTTGCGCCAGCAATTACATCGACCACCACTACGAAGGGATACACTAAGGCCAGAGGCGGCCAACCTCCACCCACGCGTACTCAAGTAGCCCCGCGCAAGCACGTCTTCGCGCGCGGAGTCACCAAAAGAGACCACGCTCGTGTAACAACACTACCCGCGGGCAAGTAGAGCAATGCGACACTGTTTCACTGACATCCTATTATGTCTCGTCCATAGACCTCATCATACTATAGGTCCCTATCCCTTTCAAGTGTCATGTTACCTCGGGGGGTGGGAGAGGGATTTTCTTCCTCTCTCTCTAGAAAAACTAGAACTTCTATCTCTAGAATTCTTCTCTCTCCTTGAGACCCCTTGTAACCGAGAAAATAAATAAAGGCATAAGGCGGATTGTACACCTTATCTCACTCGCTCCCACAATCATCTTGTCTCACCCCTACCCTCAGTTAGACATAAACAATTGGCGCCCATCGTGGGGCCGCTAGTGAAAAAGTACAATGGCGAAAAAAAAATCCAAACATGCCAGACAAGGCGACACCAATCAAAGCAGCAACGAACCAGATACTGTTCGCGGAAACCACAACCTGAGTGCGGTATTAATTGAAGAAGAGGAGCCAGAGTTGACCGCCAAGGAAATACGCCAGCAATTGGCCAAACAAAATGAAGTGATTGCGGACATGCAACACACAATGAATCAAGTCATCGCAATCAGAATGAACAAGGAAGCTCCTGCCGTAGAACCGCCAACACCAGTCGAGAGGCAACCCGCCCTAGCAATCCGTGAACAACAACGAGTGGAGCCGCAACGAGTGGAGCCGCCACAAAGAGCAAACCTCGGCTTCCTGGAGCAACACCTATCCCCACACTACCGCCCCCAGCCCAAAGTGACCATCCACCAACCATTGTGCTCCGAAATTATGGCGGAACACCTCAGCTGAATACCACCCGCCCTCCCAACGTATGTTGGAATAACAAACCCGGAGGACCATTTCGGCACTTTCTGCCTCCGAATGAAGCTCCAGACTAACTCAAACGCGGCTTTTTTCAGAACCTTCTCGTCAACATTTGTCGCATCTGCCTCGATTGGTACAACTGGCTACCAAACGGGATAATCCATTCCTTTGAAGAGTTCATGCTCCTATTCACAACCAAGTTTGCTTCCCAAAAAAGGAGACTGCTCCACCTCAAGGTGTTAATCGACATCAAGCAAATTGCAGGGAAGAGCCAAAGAGAGTTTTAATCCAGGTGGTCAAGAGTTGTCATGGCAGTACGAGACCTCACACCCGAAACCGCCGCCCACCACCTCATGGAAGCTACCGCCAACATGGTGCTTAAGCGAGCATTGGCAAAAACACCAGTTACACTCTCTACGGAGTTGGAAGTCAAGGTTGAGAAAGCCATCACACTGGAGGAAACCCTCGACGCAGGGTCCGTAAGACTCTTTGAACCATCAAGACCAATAAGAGAAGATCAAGCGCAGAGACAAACTCCTCATTCCGCTCGAGAAACTCGCACAATGCCATAGCGGAGCGAGCATGCCGTTCGTTCCATCAGAACAAGCAACGCATAGACGCTCGTCCAATAGACATCCGCCAAACACCTTCACACCCTTAAACGACACAGTGAAGAACGTATTCCACCTCATACGCGAGAAAGGTTATCGCCTCAACTAGCCCGCCCTAGTTAAAGCCGCACCCACATGCACGACCACATGAAACACTGCGATTTCTGTAGGGAAACAGGTCACATGACAGAAGATTGCTTCAACCTCAAAGTAGATATCGAGGCACTCATTCGAAGAGGGTACTTGGCTGAATGTATCCAAGAGACAGAGGTGCGAAAGAACAACGAGCAAGTACCTCCACCACCGCTACAACCTGAGTACGACGACAATACTGGCGCATATGTCATGCGTAAATAAATTGGCGTTGTGACGATCGAAGGAGACAAACCCAAGAAGAAGACGAAACATTCCCGCGCAGTGGAGTGCGCGACAACAAACACCCAATCAAAGTGCAACATCAGCTTCGATGACATAGAGCTCCCACAGGGAGTCCCGTAAGAGGATCCACTCAGCATCACCGCCTTAATAGCCGCATGCAAACTCCATCTCCTGCTGGTAAACGGAGGTAGCGCCGCAGACATATTTTTAAAGAACACTTTGGATCGGATGGACATCGAATCGTGGATGATTAAGCACCCGCAAGGAAACCTGGTGGGATTCTCCGGGACACAAGTCGTGGTAATTGGAGCAATAACATTACCGGTCGTGATTGGCAACCACGAACCATGCATCTCAAAACAAGTCGAGTTCACCATCGTGGACTGTAACTCACCGCACAACGGAATCCTAGGACGCCCGTTCCTGGCTAAATTTATGGCCCTGCCATCTACGTGCCCTCAGAAGCTGAAATTCCCCACCAATGCCGGTATAGTTGAGGCTCGCGGATTATCATGGATTCTGGCCAAGGAAACAAGGTCAACAAAGAAAACCAACATAATCGACACAATGGCGGAATAGCCGTGCCCAGAGTCCATGGACTCCGATTTCGAGGTCGCGCTAGGCTCAAGTGAACCAACCAAAAACGTGCACATCTCTACTCACGTCCACAACAACATGGTCGAACCGCTAATGAAGCTACTTCAAGAGTACGAGGAACTATTTGCGTGGTGCCCATAGACATGCCCGGTGTGCCAAGGCAAGTGGAGCAACTTAGGTAACAAGTTCGTGGAGCGGGAGCGGGAGCGGAAGCGAGAGCGTGAGAGCGATTTGTTTCAAAATTATCAAATACGAGAGCGTCTATAGAGCGTCCGCTAAAACAGACAATACATATCGTGTTCCAAGTAAAAGGGAAAATGAGGAGAAGTAATTTCATTCCCTATAAACACTACTTCTTCATATTACTAATACAAAGGACATTTACATGCTAAAAAGCATTTTCCTAAATACATAAAAGTCAATTGTCATGCCACGATATGAAGTGGTTAGCATGTTCCTTCATCTACACAACCAATTTACATTTGCTTGCTATACAAAAGCAAAAGGTTAATATATGTGCAAGCAATACAGTTGCCAAAATATAATATGGCATGACAAACCAAGCTTAACACTAAGCAATCCTACTTCTTTTGGGCTGCCTCCCATCTTCTCGAGTAACTTGAGGTGGATTTGGCATGCTTGAACTTGGAATGGCAGCATCATCTTCATCATGTGAGGAAAAGTCTTTATCCTCGATTTGTTGCATGTCAAAGTTTATCATATCATCTTCAACATAATAATCCCAATCCTTGTATTCTTTCTCATAATCCTCCCTGTATCTTGTCAACAAACGATTATTATAGTGAACATAAACCAAGGATTCTGCACGATCAGTATTCAGCCTATTCCTTTTCACACTATGGATAAAACTGTATGTGCTCCAAACTCTTTCAGCACAAGAGGTATTAACACTCTGAGATAACACCCTCACAGCCAAACTATACAGCTCTGGAGCTGCTGCACCATGTAAATTCCACCATTGGACAGCAGGTAGTACATCTCTATCACATATTGCTTGTGGACGAGCAAAGATACCTACATGATTAATTTAGTTTAAATTGTAATCCACGAACAGTCTGTTAATAATAACAACAAATAATCAATAATGGGATAGAAGCAGATTCTACAAGGAATGGGATAGAAAGTTCGAAACAACTTCGGTAGGGAATGGATGAAGCAGTAGCCAAATCCAATTCACTGTTAGTTATTCAAAAGCAATGCCACTCCATTATTAAGCTATATTATGTCATCCCATTATATGAACCAAACTTACAATAAAACCCAAGAAAGGAATGAGAACAAGCAGTAGCAAAATTCAAAGAAAAGACAACAATAATAATAAGCTAGCTTATGTAATCAAAAGCAAATACTGGTTCTTCCCACATTTATCGATAAGTTAAAATGGCTAGAATTAATACCTGTGTTGGAAACAAAGTCACTTAGTTGAACACGAGCTCTAGTTGCCTCAACTGAATTTCCAATTATGCGATCTACTACATCAAGATAAATTTTCTGAATTTCAGGATCAGCATGCGGCTTGGCTCTTTTATCTCCCGTTGGACTAGAACTCATCAACCATTTCTTTGAATAATAGAAAGGAGTAAGCACGTAAGCCAACAAATGTAATGGAACATTCATCTTCCTCCATCGCTCCATAACAAGAAATTCTACAATATCCTTCACTTCCACACGATCAACCAAACTCAATTGAATGAAGTTGACCATGTCTTCCATTCTTGGATAAACTTCACCAACTATAGCTTTGTCAGAATTGCAAAAGCTAATCATTTTCCAAATAGGTCTTGTGAAACTAAGAACAAGCTTCAACTTCAACCAAAAATCAGCATCTAAAATGGTGTTCTTCACTTCATCATGACTTAGATTTGAAGTAGACTTACCATTCTTCAAACTTTCCCACTCATCACTTAACACCATTGAAATCAAGTGATTCTTTAACTTGGACAAACGTTCTAGCACCACAAAATGATGACCAAACCTTGTCTTCTTAACCTGAATAACATCTAGTGCAGAAAATTTCCTGAAAATATGCAGAACCATGCTGTGATTTCTTATGTACTTGACAATCCCTTTTGCTTTCTTATACAAAAATCCAATGAACCTTAAAGAAGGATAATGAGAAGATGCAATATCCTTCATTAAAAGGCTTAAGGTATGAGCCAAGCAACCTGACCAAAAGATATGAGGATGCCTCTCCATTATGATTTCTCCAGCACGCTTACAAGCAGAAGCATTATCCGTGAGCACCTGAACAACATTATAGATCCCAACTTGGTCAATGGCTTTGAGTAAGATTTCAGCAATATAAACTCCCGTCTTTTCATCTCCAGAACAGTCAATGCCTTCGAGAAATACAGCTCTACCCCCCGAAACAGCCAACACATTTATCAAAGGTTGATTCTTCACATTACTCCAGCCATTCGACACAATGAAAACACCAAAAGTTGGCCACTGATCTCGAATACCCGTCAATGCACGATCAACTTTGGATCTCTCCTTATCAAGCAAGTTTGTTCTTAACTTTTCAGAACTTGGAGGCTTGTATCCTTTTGATCCTTCAATTAAGCCTCGTACCATTTCATAGAAAAATGGAGACCTTGCTACATTAAATGGGATTCCACAACCATAAAAGAATCTTCCAATCAACCCATCAATATCATGCCTCGATACCAAGTCAAACATGTCACTAATGATTTTTGTATCATTTTTCATGACCCCAATCTTACTTGTAGGAGGTAGAATTTGAACTGCTGGACATGAAACTTTACGTGTGAATACTCTTTTGGCCCCATCCTCTTCTTGCTTCATTTTCTCTAGCTCACTTTTAGTCACTTTTGAACATACTGCTATTCCACCTGCTTTCATTCCTGGAATCCTACCAAGAAAGTGAGCTCGAATGCGTGAGTACGTTCCTGTGTATGGATCACCTCTGCATCCAAAGCTACATATCCACTTATTGTTTTTCTTTTCGCCAACCATAACCACATATTTTCTAAGTGGGGTAGCAGTAAGTTGTTCCGGAAAAGCATTCTCCCCATCATCGATATCAACTGGTACAGAAGTAGGATTAGCTTCACTCATGTTTACCTACCTGCAGAACACCAGTCACCAAGAAATGTAGTTAATCTAAGTTATTAAAAGCTTACATATCAATAAACCAACGATCAATGGATAAAATTGCAAACCAAAACCTTATTTGAACTGTTGTACCAAGAGTATAAGAAGATAGAATGAAGGATTCAGCACATGAAAATTCATTTGAGAACCCTAACAGAACAATGTTTATGCTGATATATAATATTGAGAATAACAAATTAAATTCCATACCAAGTTATTGATCGGCGCCAAGTAGTCGATGGAAATCAAAGAAGAAATCTGATATCATATAATCCTCAGTCCCTCCTTCAGTACGCGACCCTCCAACTCCAGTTTTGTCTTTCAACCTTTGTCTTTCAAGTTCTATTATCCTTTTTCTGTTCTGATGGCAATTTCCAAGAGAAAACTAGTCTCTTGAGTTTTTTTAATCTTTTATTTCTCATTAAAAATTGTTTGGGAAACTAAAAGTACCCGTTGGAATCATGCTGTCCACATATATCCTTTAATTTTTTTAATTAATATCCAGGAAGCTTGTTTGGGAAGTTGTTCCTTATGTTACTTTATTAGTTAGGATTTGGATTCTCGAGATTGAAGAGTCAGAGTCCTCCAAATAAAAAAAGGTAAAAGAGGGATAAATATATTATTTTATTGAAAACGTTTACGAAATCGCGAACTAAAAAGTTTAATTCAACGAATTTAAAATGACAAACCCCACGATTCTTGTATCCCGTTCGCGATTTTTTAGAACAGAATTCGCGATTTTTATGCAATAAATTCGCGCTGTAAAATTTAAAAAAATCGTGAATTATAATTGAATTTCCTAAAAAACGCGTTTTTGCGCTTTGGAGCGCGAGCGTCAGCCTTAATATCACGAATCATGTATCCTAAGGAGCAACACAGTCTTGCAGTGCCCATCGATGCGGAACCGCAACAACAAGCTCGCTGCTCTTTCACATGCGAAAAACTAAAATCTATTGAAGTAGAGGTCACACGACTCCTCTCCACAGGCCTAATACGAGAAGTCAAGTGTCCAACATGGCTAGCCAACGTCTTCTTAGTGAAGAAATCTTCCCGATCATGGAGGATGTGTGCTGACTACACCATAATCAATAAGGTGTGCCCTGGAGATCCTTATCCCCTCCCGCGCACTGACCAGCTGATCAACGCCACTTCCGACCATGAGAAGTTATCCTTTTTGGACATGTTCTTGGGGTACCACCAGATTCCGATGAACCCCAAAGATGAAGAAAAAATAGCTTTCATGACCCCATTCGGGAACTTCTGCTTCGTCGGAATGCCCTTCGGGCTAAAAAATGCGGGAGCCACCTACCAGAGAATGATTGATTTCGTGTTCCCGCGGCAGATAGGAAAAAACATCGAAGCCTACGTTGACGACCTCATCGTCAAAACTAAGGAAGGACGCTCGCATCCGCAAGACCTCCGTGAGACATTTGAGGCACTTCGCAAGCATAGCCTCCGCCTCAACCCTTTGAAGTGCATACTTGGCATCGAAGAAGGAAACTAGATTTCATGATAACCAAGCGAGGAATCGAGATGGATCCAAAACAAATCACACCAGTTCAACAGTTGCGCGCACCCAGGAACGCAACCGAGATACAATCTCTGAACGGGAAGCTGGCAGCGCTGGGAAGATTCATTCCGAGGTCAGCTGACAGGTACGCTCCTTTCTTCCGCACCCTGAAAAGCGGAACCCAATTCGCATGGACACCTGAGTGTGAAAGCGTGTTCAATGAGCTGAAATTGTACCTTGTATCCCCCCTTGTATTGATTGCGCCTAAACTTAATGAGAAAGTGTTCCTATACTTCGCCGTATCGTCTAGAGCCGTGAGCACAGTGCTAATCTCGAGAAGGCAAGTTCAAACAGAGAGACCAATATACTACACATCCCGAACGCTGTCAAATGCAAAAACAAGGTACTCACCAATCGAGAAAGCCGCCATCTCCCTGGTAAGCGTATCTCAAAAGCCGCACCCATACTTCCAAGCTCATTCAATAACAATCCTCGGTCCTCACCAATGTCCTGCTCAAAAAGATACTAAGTGCAATGGAAGTGTCAGGAAAAATGACAAAGTGGGTGGTTGAGTTATCAGAGTATGACATCCAATATGCGCCAAGACCCACAATTAAAACACAAATAATGGCGAATTTTATCGCAGAGGGAATAGTTCTAGACATAGTGTCGGATGGGATGTAGGAAATATATGTCGATGGAGCCGCCAGCAAACACGGAGCAGGGGCAGGATTCGTTGTGTGCATGCCCACAGGGGCAATACATGAAATGGCTATCCACTTCAGAACACTGAAAACAAATAATGCTTCCGAATACGAGGCCATCCTGGCCAGTCTGGCTGGTGCTAGAGACCTCGGCGCGAAGACCGTTAGAGTGTTATCTGACTCCGCGTTAGCAGTAAATCAACTCAGCGACATTTTTTACGCGGAGGAAGATACACTCGCGCAATACATCGAGCAAGTAAAGGAACGAGCCAAGCTGTTTGAAATAGTAACTTATGTCCATATACTGCGCGAAGAAAACATCCACGGGGACGCAATCTCAAAGCTCGCAATCGCCACTGACTTCGACTCATTGCGGTTAGTCTCGGTACAAAAAAGGACCAAGAAACCGATCAGGTCGGCGCGGTCAATGCCACATAGGTAGCAAAGGAAGACAACTGGCTCACGCCAATAGTAGGGTACTTAAATGACGAAACAGTTCCAGAAGATCCAAAGGAGGCGTGGGCGCTAAGGCAGAAAGCGTTGCGTTGTACCCTAATCGGCGGTGAGTTACATAAGCGTTCACATTCTGGTGTATACTGCAAGTGCGTCGGGCCGGTAAAAGCACAAAGAATAGTACAAGATGTATACGAAGGGCTATGCGGAATGCGCAGTGGCTCGCGTAGTATGGAGCGCACCATTCTACTCCACGGGTATTATTGCTCGCGAATCAAGAAAGATACAAAGAAGTTTGTCGACCGGTACCACAAATGTCAAGTCAACGCAAGGCAACATCACCTACCATCCGCGAAACTCCAGGGCAACTTGAGCCCATGTCCATTCGCATAATGAGGAGTAGACCTCTTGGTGCCCTTCCCAACAGCAAGGGGCAAGCAAATACTCATAGTGGCGGTCGACTACTTCACCAAGTGGATTGAAGCCGAGGCACTTGCATCGATTACTGCGCAATAAGTCATTCGCTTCTTAAGATACAACATACTCACGCGATTTGGCATTCCCAATTCACTCGTGTTCGATCACGGTAAACAATTTTATTGTGCCGAAGTAATTGATTTTTGTGACCAGATGGGAACAATAGCCCGCTTCGCCTCAGTTGCATACCCCCAGGCCAATGATCAAGCGGAGGCAGCGAATAAAGCAATCCTACACGGACTACACACCCGCCTAAACGAAGCTAAAGGCAATTGGACGGAAGAGTTACAGACGGTACTATGTGCACATCGAACTACATTTAAAATAGCCACTGACCCACTTATCGATTCACAATGTTTGATGAGGAGAGAAACAACGCTACTCGTTTAATAGAATTGGAGCTGGAAAACGAGCGACGCGAGTTAGCATACATCATGTTAGTGGCGACAAAGGCGCAAATATCAAGGTACTACAATGCGAAATTGGTTCCCAACAACTTGAAACTGGGAGACCAAGTGTTGAGGCAGAACTTCCGCCCAGACCCTCGACAAGGGAAGCTAGCGCCCACATGGGAAGGACCATACCTGGTCAAGGTCATCGTCGCCAATACGTTCAAACTACAGGAAATAAGCAGAGCCAAAGTGCCAAGAACTTGGAACACATAAAATCTAAGAAAATATTGCCCTAGCACTTAGCATATTACCAATGTATGACAGCGGTTCACTGGGAGTAATAAAAGCAGAGGTACTATTTTCGCTACTAATAATGACGTAAACAACAAAAAAGTAATCGCGCAGTCATGAACTGCAAAAGCGCGTACAAAACTTAACACAGTAATCATGAATTACGCAGATTGATTCAAACTTTGGATTGTTTAAACAGGGGGAAAATGGAACCCAAACTTAGTCCCATGACAGAAACATAAAACACGAGTACACTTAGATAATTTCATCTAATCAATCACAACATTCTCTGTCGGAACCACTTCATCCTCCTCATGCTCCGGCTCCGAATCAGGGTCCAATGACCGCTTTGCACTTAGCCACCGCTTAACATGCCTAACCATAACACCGGTGTTCCAACGCACACCAGGGTTCTCTGGCTGCACCTCCTTGCGGATGGCTATGACCGCCTTGGTCATACAATCCGCCAGGATCTTGTGAAAAGTGGTCGTCGTCTTGTATAGGCGAATGGCGTTCGCCTGCGGATCAAGGACAACACTAGCCTTCGCTACCTCGTGCTCGCGTAGTAGACCCTCCTTCTCATACTGGAGCTCGTTGCGTACATTCTTCAATATTTCTGCGTGATCTTACTTAAGGTGCCACTTCTCCTCGGCACGCTCATTCTCCATTTGCGTCCGCTCCTCATCGAACTCCTTTCGCAGCTCCTCGCGGATGGCATCCATCTCCTCCGGCCGAGCATTCTCCTTCGCCACCCGGATTTCCTCCTGCAACTTACTCTGCAACACACCTAGCTGCTCCAACGCCTCATTGGCTTTCTCCGTGGCATCCTTTGCGCGCCCCTCAGCCCCTGCGACCTTACCCTCGAGCTGCATGCTCTTCTCCAATTCCGCTTTCAGAGACGCGACATCATTAGCCCTCTCTTGCTCAGTGCGGAAGGTAGCCAACAAACCCTACCCCAGGAAACCCACCAATTGCCTTAGTAAAAAAAACATAAAAACAACAACATTAAGCAGAAGGAAAAAGAAGTAAGCGAGGACAATACACATGGAAAAATGAATGTGGGTCAAATACTGGACCGAGTCATTGCTCTCTAGCCGCGGAGGGGTATTCAACATTGGACCTACCGCATGCAAGGAATTTTGCACGAAACTCAGCGATGAAGCAGCGCCAGAATGCAGCCGCACATCGTGAAAATGCGTGGGGACGAGGGCCTCGATCCCAGGCATCTCCGACAGGGTCTGCTGGACAGTTTTCCCTGATGAACTCCCTTCGGCCGCCCTGTCAGGTCGCGGCAGTTTGTTAACCCGCGGCTGCCTTGGGAA